TGGGGGGGGGGGGAGCCCCTGAGTGCAGATACGTGCTCTTTCCCCCCAGCATGTTGTTATGAAAATCTTCAAAAACACTGCACCTACCACCTCGATTCTCTAGGCAGTGGTCGGCAAACTCATTAGTCAACAGAGCCAAATGTCAACAGTACAACGATTGAAATTTCTTTTGGGAGCCAAGTTTTTTAAACTTAAACTATATAGGTAGGTACATTGTTATTAACTTAGGGTACTCCTAAGGCTCAGGAAGGGCCACACTCAAGGGGCCAAAGAGCCGCATGTGGCTCGCGAGCCGCAATTTGCCGACCACGGCTCTAGGGAAATTCCCTTCTAATTTTGGGAAAACATGGCTGAAAGGGCTTTGGCTTTTCCTGCTCTCCCAGCTCTCATGCCTCAGAAACTGCATGGGAGCAAGGGCTCTTTACGTTGTAGAAACGGGCATCACTGCCCAGGCCACAGGCTCAGTGGGTGAGCATCAGCCTAGGAACCAGGAGGTCACGGTTTGATTCTGGTCGGGGCACAGGCCTGGGTTGCGGGCTCCATCCCCAGTCGGGGGGCTGCAGGAGGCAGCCGGTCGATGACTTTCTCATCATTGATGTTTCTCTCTCTCTCTCCTCTCCCTTCCTCTGAAATCAGTAAAAATAAATATATTTTAAAAAAGAAGAAGAGACGGGCACCGTTGTGCAGAGCAGGCTGTTCCCGGGGGCGGGGCAGGGGGTGGTGTCCCTGCTCCTCCGGCCTCGTGTTCACCACAAGCAGCGGCTCCTGCTCCTCCCCAGGCCAGCGCGGGTCCCCCTCGTCCCCATCCAGCGGGTCTCAGAGACCCCAACTCTCCTCCCCATGGAAGGCTGTGGGTCCTGACTGTAGCTCTCGTGTGTCACACGTTTGGGACTTCTTAGAATGTCCTGGAAAGGCCGCTGGAGAAGCAGGGTTTAGTCTCCAAGTGCAGACATTTGGGATGGCGACCCGCTAGCTTACAGGGAGGGAGGGCTGCCAAGTGTGCGCCTGGCCTGGGCTCGCGGGGCGCCCAGCAGTCCGGGGCCCCTCTGCCCGTTCCCAGAGGAAAGAGCCGAGACCTGGTGCCCGCAGTGCCGTCCGGGAACCCACAGTGGTGCCGGGAGAACCGTCACGGGGAGACAGGCGGGGCCCGGTGGGGGACGTGGCCTTTTGGTTTTCAGCTGTTGTCCCGGCTCGTCCTCACAGCTCAGCACAGGATCCGTCCATGGCGGGCGTTGAACTCAGAGGGTGGCGAAGGCGCCGGGAGCAGGGAGGCGACGGCCCTTCCCTGTGCAGCACGGGTGACACTTTCTCAGAACCCGTGACCGGCTCCCAAGACCTCCCAGCAGCCCGGAGCCCCTCACGGATGCTCTGGGCGAGTGAGCTCGGGGTCGGTGCCGCCCTGACGCCCTCTCTCTCTCCCCAGATCGGGCCCAGCACAGGCAACGTCAGTGCAAACTCCCCCCGCCCCGCCTCCCACCCATGTGTGTCAACCCTGCCCCCGGAGGGACCATCTGTCGAGGTAAGGGAGGAGCCTGGCTCCAGCACCAGCTCCGGGGCTGTGGGGCGGGGCAGCCGGGCAGCCCGGGGCCAGGGCCAGGGGCCTCTGGGAAGCGAGTGAGGAGAGCGGGGTTAGCAGAGCAGCCGGCCTGCGGTGAGGTCACGGGGAAGGCTTGGGTTGTTGATGACCCTTGGCTGCCTGGCTTCGACCCTCCGGGCCCTGGGCTCCTGGGAGAGCCGGAGTGAAGCCCAGTCCAGACGCTGGGCAGCAGCGTGGAGAACCGGAGGCTTGCATCTCCTGGCAGCCCTGGCTCAGGTGGCCCCCAAGTGCAGGGCGCTCGGGCGGGGCCGGAGCAGAGCACCCTGAGTGGCCCAGTGCCCTCCCTCGAGGCGTGGGGGATCCCGGCGCATTGCTCCCGGCCCCTCAAAGCGCTTGACTGGCATGAACACCTGCCTCTCAGTCCCTTTTGGTGCGGAGACTATCAGAGCCCAGACAGGGGACAGCTCACCTCAGGCCCGTGGTGCCAGGGCAGGCCCTGTGGGGGGACCCTGGGAGCACCTTGGCCCGGAGCCTCAGGGCTCCCGGTGGCTGTCCCTGCCCTTAGCTGCCTGTCAGCCCTCCCAGGGGCCTCGGAAGAACCTCTCAGTCCTGGGTCTGCCTCCTGGAGACAGCACGTCCCCCAGGCTCTGTCCGTCCCCCAGGCTCTGTCTTGACCGCAGCGCGGTGAAGGCCAGGAGTGCAGGCAGGGCGCAGGGAGCACCAGCAGGCACCCGTGTCCCAGCGGCTTCAGGCACTGCCCTCCGCCCGGGGCCCTGTGCACAGCGTCTAGATGAGCACTTCCGGCCCCTCTGACCATTGACTTGGGTTTTAGAGAAATGCCGCCCCTCCCGTTGCCAAAGCAAGAGTTGATCGCCCTTTTTTTTTTCTTTCTTAAAATGCCCTGTAACTCGAAAAGGCTGAACGTTAACATTTCCAACATGGCAGGTGAGTGGCTCTGAGCGTCAGACGTGCTGTGGCCGCGCTCGCCGGCGGCGGGCTGGGGCCGAGCCCACCCAGAGGCCAAGGCCGCCCCCTGGGGGCCAGCAGGCCCCCCTTAGCCCCAGGGAGCACAGACCCCAGCTGGCGCCCACGGGTGGATGCGTCTCTGCCTCCCCGCCCCCGCCAGGAAGGGCTCTTGTCTGGGTTCTTCACCAGAAGCAGGACCTCCTGGTCCCCGTGCGGCCGTGCGGCCCCCGCCCTCGAAGGAAGGGGCGGCCGGAGCTGCCTCTGCTCAGACAGCAGAGCCACTCGGAACCGTGGTCACTTGATCGGTCACGGTGCCCGGGGCCGTCGAGTCAGATTTGGGATTGAAACTCTCACCTTCTCCCCAGCCCGCCTCTGGCGCAGCCGCGTCCCAGGTCCCGGGATAAACACACTCCCCTCTGAGCCGCCTCCGCCTCCACCCGCTCGCCTGGGACGTGGCCTAGAAAGCCGCGGGGCTGGGCCTGGCCTCCCGCCTCCCGTCTCTCAGGCGTCCTCTCCACCGTGTGCCTTCCACCGAGAGCGGGGAGGCCAGAGGACAGCGGGGTGTCAGGCGGCCGCCCGCCCTGCTGGTCCCCTCACCTTCCTTGTTGCCGACCACGTGGCCATTTCTCGCCATTTTGACCATAAGGGTGGAGCTCGGGGGGGGGGGGGGGGGGGCGAGGGGAGACGGGGGCGGGCCCAGAATAAGTTGGGTCTAAGTGGATCTTTCTGTGCCTGGCGGAGGCCACAGAGAGCGATCCAGACAGCAAGCTGAGCCTTTATTTTATAGCCACAGGTAAACAAGGTAGTGGTCACCATCGTTACAGTGTTCTTGTGAGTTTCACTGTTTTGGTAGCACTTGCTGCATCTCCCTCAGCCCATTAGCTACCCAGATAAGATCTAGGGAGTATCACAAGGTCAAGCCTAACTATGCTAAGAAGGGGTGAGCTGGCCGTGCTGGGAGCTGGTGTCTGACAGCGGCCGGCACAGCCCGGGGCCGGAGGGCAGCGAGTTTTAGGGAGATGTGTGCGCGGGTGAGAGAGGAG